TAGGCTGAAATAAAACTACAGTATTCGATTTCACTAAGCACGCACAGAAAACAGACCGCACTCTGAATCTCAGCCGCGATGCAGCTGTCTGTTCAGGCCCATAGAAAGGGCAATAAGCTTTTGCAGCTATAAGGGAAGGTCTTACCATTGAAGAAGGGACCCTCTCGCTTTCTCTTGAATAGCCATTCTTTCGTTCTTCTGACCTTCAGTCAAAAGATTTGAAAATCCGAAGGGTGTAAGCAGTGCTAGCAGAAGACCAAATGATTTTATTGCTTCCATCTGTTTTATGACATCAGGGACTGCTAAAATTCGTCAGGTGTTACAAACAGAAATGAATTTGTAATGCAGAACAACTCTGTGAAGAACTGAGAAATCATTTTTGCAGTACTCATCAAAATTAAAAGACAAAAAATTGAAAACGGAGTATAATTTGTATAAAAAATTTAAAATCTTCCGTTATAATATGCGACAGTATGTTCTTTGCTGATACAAACAAAATTAATTCCATCCATTTATCTCAAAAATTGAGTTAGATACAGTATTTTTAAACACAATGCTTAAAATTGTTTAGGCGCACTAACAGAAACGGACATTTAAAAGCAGAGTACCAGCGGGCATTTAAATAAACTCCGGCCAACTCAAGCTTACCAGTATTTCAGAAGTCCGGCATTTAAAGGTTAAGGCAATCATTGTAACTTCTGTAAAGTCCTTGGGCCACTCTCCACTTTCATATATGGTGTTCATTAGTTTTGTCAGTGTTTTCAAACCACCTTCTCCCAGTAACTTGAGCACATCACATCATCATCTCCTGTAGCCTTTCCCTTCCTCATTTCCTTGATAGCTTTTTCCACCTCACTTTGTAAAATATATGGTCCTTTCTCGTCTGTATCTACTTCTTCTTCCGGTTCAACTTCTAAGGTTTCTGGCCGATTAGGTCAATCATATAGTTCTGTAATATAATTTTCCCAAATTTTCAGCACTTGCCTCTGATCTACTATTCTATTCCCCTGGGAGTCTTCGATGCCAATATTTTGAATCCCATGATTCTCTTTCCATCCTAGTTCTTTTGTCTTCATGCACATCAAATCATAACGTCCTGTTCTTTGAAATTCTATAATCTCATTACATATCTTCTCAAGATATTCCTTTTTGGCCCTGTCCATGGCTCTTTTCAATTCATTCCTCAGTCTCCTGTATTTCCTCCTGCCTTCTTCATTGTTGTTATTCTTCCATTTCCTTCGCTCCTCCATTTTACTCATCATCTCCTGTGTAACCATATCTTATCATTCATGAAATGAGCACTCTCTAAATATACTTACTTACTCTTGATTACTTGGGTCCTACATATTACAGTGTCCATAACTTATGCTCTGCATGTAGACTATCAGCATCCCATTGTTGCAGTTCATATTAAAGAATCTTGGTTTTTCTGAGTTATGAAGAGTGAGCTGGTGTTTTGAATATGTTCAACTACAATAAAAATAACAATCCCCCCCAAAACTGCAGTGTAAGTTGGATTTCAAGTAAAACTCTTGAAGGTAACAGGCATGTCATCAGCTTAAGTTCATACAGAAAATTTTTCTGCAATGAATTGTACAGCTAAGTTATGGATTTAAGAGCAAATCTGCCATCTTATGGTTGATAAGATTAGAGAGTCTTGTTCCAACACAGGTTTGTATGCTGTCTGCTTGTAATCTGTAACATACCCAAGCAGCCTCTTATCTTGCTGTTTCCACACAAGTAATAGTCTCCGCAGAAAAATGGATAGGTTATAGCACTGTTTCATTTTAAGTCAGCATGGACTGTCATGGAGTACTGATATGTAGTTGCAACACAGTTCTTTCATGCTCTGTAAGAAGGGCACAATTCAAATTTGTTCAGTTTTCACATATGCTAAAATTATATTTTCTCTTATTCAGGTGGTATTAAAGGCTGAAGTGTAGTTTTTATACAATAAAAGTTGAAAGCACAATACCTAGGTCTTGCATAAAAAGTAATCCTTTAGTTAACTTGTCTTTCATGATGATTTTGGACATAGTTCTTCATACAGAGCACCAAAATGTATTGCTAAAACATGAGCCCTTGAGTTTCCATAGTAATATTTGTGAGGGATGCTGAATAAAATAAGAGTCTTCACATGTAGGACAATAACATGTTGCTGTAACCCAGAAGATTACAATTTAACCTCTCACCAGTGTGAAAACCTCAACTCCTATTTTATATTTATGACATACAAAGGTTAAGAAAATATTGGATAGTGTAAGAATGATGTGCATGTGTGTTGATATAACTCTGTATCAGGTTTTGCAGTTATTTTAAAGAATAAGGTGCATTAATTTTTATCATTAGCAGGTACATTTTACATTAATACTCTGTTTTTATTTAGACTCACAAGGCTATGGAGATTGGAAGAACAGGAAGGGTCCAAGTGGAGGACATTGTATTCCTTGTTCGCAAAGATGCTCGCAAGTATGCAAGAGTCAAAGATCTACTCACCATGAATGAAGAACTGAAGAAAGCTAGGAAAGCATTTGATGAAGTTAAATATGCAGGAATTCCAAATTAATATATTTTTACTCCTATATAATATTTTGTAATCAAGTATCAGAATGTCTGTAACCTTATTTCAAGTGTATTTTTTTGTCTTGAATATAAGAAAAAATATACAGTAATTTTTAAAATTAAACCATAGTTTTATAATTTATCCCAATTCCATTTTTTTTGTAAACTATAACTTGACAGATGAAGGCACAAATTAACAAGCATTCCTTGTCAATAATATAGTCTTTGGTCACAGTATTCAAAACATCAGCATTACACATCTTATAATTTTAGAATTAACTTCATTCTGCTTGCTTGGCTTATTCATCAACCCTGTAGTTGAGGGAGGGGTGGCAGAATGTTTCTCTGAAATGTCCATACACTTTTACTAGACTAAATGTCATCACATCACATCCCATTAATCAGTACTCTTTACATTCAAATTTTATTGGCCATGTGGGACATGACTGTTGTGGCACATATGAGTACATTAGTCCAGCTAGCTAAGGATCATCTTTCCAGCTCTTTCACCTCAGTTGAAGTCCATCCACCACTCCTGAAGTATTGGGTAAGTTTCCTATTCCTGGACAATGAAGGTTAAGTCTGAATATTTTTTATTAAGTTGTCTACTGCTGTTCTGGCTGACAGTATGACATCATTGACTCCGACACCATTGTATGATGCTCCAACAAGGGACAAAGGTAAATTATGATTATTCACATAAGCTTTAATTCTCTCTATTCGTTCATAATGTCCAATGACATATTGTGGAATGCAATTATTTAAAACTGACACTTGATGATCCTCAGGTGTAGCTGATATATGGAGAATTGAATGCACATACTGTACTGCTGTACTCAAAAGTCTGCCTGGTGTTGAATCTTCTCCAAAAAATCGTTCAAACCACCTCCCACCCATAATCACAGTCAGAACAGTATTGTCACCCTTTGGAAAACAACACGTATCAAACACAATTCCTAATATAGGCAGATTCTGAGATGATGGAACAAGAAATCCAAATGCATTATTCTTTAACAGACTGCCTTTATAATGAAGATTCACTACTGCAACAGTAACTGTTGGGATTGAAAACAGTTCTTCACTTAATTCTGGGTGCTGTTTAGCTACAAGAGGTGCCAACTGTTTTGCCGGTAGGGAAGAAATAATATGATCACACTCAAAAATCTCTTTCCTGACTCTTACTGCAGCTTTTCCAGTCTGGAATATTATTTCCTCACATGGAGAATTGAGCAACACATCGGCTTTGTGCTTTTTAATACTAATTCCCAGTGTTTCTGGCAGTAGCTCAAGTCCACCATCCAGTGACCAAACACTCCACTTTTCCTTTTCAGCTCTCTCAAAAAGTTCACATTTGCTTTGGAATGTATTCCTTAATTTCCCTCCAAGTATGTTCATAAGAGTACCTTTTATTATAGACCCATGAGCTTGTTCTGCTTCAAACAAGGACTTCATTAGAAACTTCACACTGATTTCTTTTGCATCTCCAGCACAAACACCACTGACTAAAGGACTCACAGCATACTCAGCAATCTCCTTTCCTAAACGTCTTTCCACAAAATCATAGATACTTTCATCCTTAACTAAATTTCTTGGTGCTTTCAAGTCTTGAAACAATGCACTTACCAATGGTTTTGTAAATGGTGGCTGTGTAAAAAACAGTGAACAAATGCTATTGGATGGCAAAGCATGTAATGCATTATTAACATAAATGAGCCTATTTTGAGCCGTTGGATGACTGTATGGAATAGGCACCACTTTACTGACCAGACATAGATCTTCAATTAATGCCAAAGTATTTTCTCCAGCTACTCCTTTTGGACGCACAGTTCGAGGGCCATGCTCAAAAACCAATCCGCTAGGAGTTCTTGTTGACCGTATCCATCCTCCAAGCCGACTACTTGCTTCAATAAGTTTAACATGCTTTGAAATTGACTTCTGCAAGTAGTGGACAACTGATAAGCCACTAATTCCCCCGCCTAATACCACATACATATTTATGTATAAAATTCACAACCGTATACAGAATACCAAGGTTAGGGCTGACACATGTTATGAGACAAAATATTACCATAAAATTGTGTATACTCCTTATTGGAAATAATTAATTTTCACTGCTGTCCATGTCAGTCAATAAATTGCTTATGACAAAAGTTTCCTACCTGCCTTTAATAAGCAAGGTTTATCAGCTGATTGCCACTGAAGTTATACAATTTATTTCTATACATTAGAGAAAATGTATTTCAAACACCTACGTTACGTTTGCATAGTTAAGTCCCTCAGGAAACACGCCTATGATTAAGCAACAATTCATGGAATCACACACGTTCCTTATGAGCTACGGCCAATATCAGGCAATAATACTGTAACAGTTCCAAGATTATTGAAAATAACTTAAAATTCCGAACTTTATTCCTAGGAATGCCGCATATGAACAAACATTAATAAGTTACGGTGTGAATATTCTGTGCTCTAGTCACTTAAATAACTGCACTTCACACGAACGGACCTTATCATTAGAATGACTGGACCAGTTTGACCGGACTTCAGTATCTTTACCGCACTCAATTGCAACAGTCATATTTCCTGTGGGATGCCTGCCTTCTGATATATCCCATGCTTTCATGGACTTCATGGAGATAAAAATTGCCCGTTAAAAGTACACACGCAAAACATACGCGACGTCACGCACTCACTATGCTGCCCCCTGTAGTGAAGTAACTGCAAAAAGGCTGATAGTACGGCCATGAGTTTAGTCGATAAGGAGGCTACCTATTATTCCTACAGATATGAATAATTTTGAAACCCTGCTCCCTTATACTGTGCATGATCTTGCTCAGTTTTTAGAAATGATTATATGTGAACTGGTTTAACTAATATCACTTCACTTAACCCTATAAGGAGAAATGTTCTCAGCAGCTCCTGTAAAGAAGCACAAATATTTAATTTACACCAGTCCACCATCCCCTTACCAAAATGCACTGAACCATTACAAAGTCCAACATACACAAAACTAATATTCGTGTTCAGGAAAGCTGAAGTTGGGTGAACCTGAGTGAAATATATGTTTCCATGAGAGATACTTGTATTGAACCAATAACTTTTGTTCAGAGCTTACAATCAGGAGCTATATAAAACTCAGTAAAGGTAAGGTAAAATTGCCATGCTTAACTAATTAAGCACTAGGCATAAAGGCATAAGTGGGAGATTTTTAGTTATTTTATGCATTATATGTTACACAGAGGAAGAAATAATACTGAGCTTTCCAAATATTAACATATTTACAGGGATGGGAATGGCTTTTAAGAACCAGGTAAATTATTTGTATGAACAGAAAATCCCAGGGGAATTACCCACAAATGGAAAGGCACCCTCATCAAAAAATTAATCCTCAGGGTACACAGGTTATATGCCTCTGCCTTCAGATAGCTTTGCTGTAATCAAAGTAGAATTACTTAACTGTCAGTAGATGCCATGAAGAGCAATCACCTACAATACTTCCTAGTATTCTTATTTCATTTATGGTTTATTAACCAGAAGTGTCACCATCTCATGGTCCAGTTTGAGGTACTATCCTGGCATGACTCGAGACACCACACAAAATTCAGGTTACCAGGTTTCCAGACTTGAACCTGCAGCCACCTATATATGAAGGAGTGGTATGCACTTGGTTACCTGATTGTTCTTCTACTTGTTAAATTATCCACCTTTTATTAGGCCACATGGCTCAGCTATTTGAATATCTGATCTTAGGTTTCTTTGTTTACTTAACTGAACTGAATTGACTTTTTATTTTATTTATATAGGCCCTCTGCCTAAGCCTACAACAAAAAGTAAAGTACCAAATACTGCACAAGAAGTAACTGTTTTGAATTTAAGTCCTTATAAGATGGCTCTACTGTGGGAACATCCCACATTATCACGCATTCTGCAACGCTCGCTCTTCACATCACTTTTCACCATCACGCGCGCTAACCAATCAGATTGCTACAAACGATCGCATTTGTACTACGCTCGGCGCTAGCCCGCGTCTTCACCATTACGCGCGCTAGCCAATCAATTCTTCCTCCTCACTTTCGAGTTTGGCTCCGCCCCACCGACCAGCGTATAAAAGGGAGCGACTCCAGAGCCGAGTTATGCAGTTCGATTCAGTTCACTTCAGCAAGCAACTTCAGCCAGCAGGCTTCGTCGCCAGCGCTCGGTCTTCGGAAACATCGGCAGGCTGCGCCAGGCACGACCGCCTCGGCCCTCCAGCGCTCTCACACCCGACTCACTGGGGCACCAGCGCCTGGACTCGCCGGTGATCGTGTTACGGTCCGACTCACTGGTCATCTGGCGTAGCCACTGCCTCATGGCTCCTACGACCGCGCTCAACGACTAGCCTTTCACCAGAAGCTGCCGCACTGCGATCAAGCAACCTCCAATTCACGCTGCCGCACGGCAAACAAGCAACCTCCAGCCACGACCGCACTGCGACCAGGCCACTCACCGCAACTAGCATTTCTCCTTACCGGCGCGCGCCGCGCTACCTCACCGGTCAATCATCTCAGCAACCACGGTCCTTTTCAGGGCCAACAAATTGTTCCGAAGAAGTGGGTTGTCATAGGAGTATGACAAAGACTACACACTCGTTAAGAAAAAACCCCACACTACAAATGGCAATACATAAACACAGAGTTAGAAAAGAGAAAACACTTGATTAGCATATAACATCCAATATGAGACAAAAATATGATCTAACAGTATTTAGGAAAGGAAATATTCCATATACAAAGTGAACACAGAAAATCCAACAGGTACTAATTTGTGGTGGAAAGGGGCAGAAACACATACTCTCACATGCACACACTAACAATCTTGGATATGATGATACTTAGGCCATATTCAGGAATTATGAGAATGACAGGCTGAGCCTCATGCAAACAATATGTTCATATCTATAGTGTTGTGATAAAGAGATAAAATCCATTCCAATTTTATTAAACTTTGCTTTGTGTAAATAAAATAAGTAATTCTGAAAGTGTCACACTACATTACTGATCAATCTTCATAAATTACATGCTGAGATCACAACGAACGGGAAAAGCATTTACATTCCCATATTTTACTTCATACAAAATTCCTGTATTATGGCTCAAACTCAGTTTCATTTTTATCTATTCTTATTAACACATTGCGGACCGGAGGGGCCATATGGCCCTCTACGTTTCCAAGCGTTGCAGACCAGTCGGGCCATATGGCCCTCTGCGGTCACGTTATGTTGCAAAACGCTATATATCGCTGTGTGGCTTCGTTGAATCGTAACTACTGTGTAGATGACCTCGGGAATGATTGCTGCCTTATCTAGTAACTCGACCAGAGTCATTTCCTGTCACAACCTAAACAAAATTGGCTTTGTTCTAATCCAAGCTTGCATGTATGAACCACGCAGCTACCAGTTCAACATGGCTCAGAGACGAAAGCAGTTGCGATCTCTCGGAGGACAGGAAATATTAGATATGTTCTCCGATGAGCTATCAGATTTGCCAACTGCTTTGTCTTCTTATAGCGAGGCCATTATCAGTAACAGTGACAGTGATGGGGACCACAGGGCTGCCTAAAATGTGTCAAGTGAAAGTGAGAGCTCCGTTGAAAGTGGGAGTGTCGGGACAGCTACATGGGATAAAGTGGACAAAACTCCCACTTTGGGAAAGTTTACTGGTGATCCAGGGTGAAGCAGATGCCATCGGACCCAACGGACGTGTCTGAAGTTGCGTCACTGTTTTTTTGAGATAGTTTCTTTGACCTGTTGTGTCAGGAAACTAACAGATACTATCTCCAACACCGTGAGGCATACGACAGAACCAATAAGGTTTTGAAGTGGGTGGATGTCACTTCAACAGAAATGAAAAATTTTTNAAATTCTACTTTGAAATACAAAGCATTTCTGTTGAAACTGGCAAAAGCTTGGGCTACTGACGTCACGGTGGCGGCAGTACCTGCGTCAGACACAGACGTAGTGCAGCCGGGGCCATCTGTTCGCACCCGCCAGAGGCCTCAAGTAGACCCCCCTGGCCGACTCTCGGGTGATATGCGGAAACATATTCTCGTGAAAATTGTGAAGAGTGAATATTGCAAGAAGAAACACCCTTCTAGGCAGTGCCATGTGTGTGCAGAGCACAAGAAGAAGAGTAGAATTGCTTACATGTGCAACTTCTGCGTAATGCCTCTTCACAAAGGGGAATGTTTCCAGAGATATCACACGCACAAGCACTTCTAGGAGCTCTGGTAAGTGTTCTCCAAAAATTTCAGTTCATAAAATTAATTAGGAGATTTTATATTAATTTTTAAAGTGAACAGTGCACAAGTTAGGGTAGTAGGTTTAAAAACGCCGGTCCCCAGGGTGATTTAAATGTTTAAACCACCGGTCCGCAATGTGTTAAGCACATTTGAAAAACATAAACTACAAACTAAACAAATTCCTTAATAACTTTAACCTGACATTCCTGTGTTACAAATTATCTTCATAAGCTTATACAAAACTAGACATTTCTTTTTCACTTGGACTCAAATTCATCTTTCTTTACATTATTTTAACTGGTTTTTAGATCTATGCACGCCATGGATTTATTGTGTCAATCACCAGACTTATTTTTAAAGATGACTCTTTTGTAGGAAATGGAAAATATACTGCTCAATTCTCTTTCCCACACTTTGGTCGGTGGGAAGTTATTTCACATTAATACTGTATTCAAATTAATTTTATGACCTTAAAGGGTTAATTTTATCCATTTAAAGAAACAGTCAACTTAACATGCAAATAAATCTACAAAATAATATACTTCAACTACCATATATTAGGCACACTTCTGTTGCTGTGTTTGAGAATTGGTTGTGAACGAACATATTCTTTAAATTCTAACAGGACACCCTGAATAAGGAATCCCCACAATAAAGAGAGTGCACAGAATTCAAACAACAGATTATTAACTTTTTAATTCTTCTTTACTTTTTAGCTCATTAGCATACTCATTAGGCTATGGACAGGCAAACTGGGGAACTGAGTTCAATTCCCAATAGGAGCAAGTGATATATCTCCTCTCCACACTGTTCACATTGGCTCTGTAGCCTAACCAGCCTCCTGCCTAACAGGTACAGAGGCAGTGTGGGCAGGGTGCAAAGCTCACCACTCACCTCCATCTAGTGATGCAATTAAGAATCCAACAATCTATAACTCCTCTCCCCCATATACCTTCATAGCATGGTGCTTAATTAGAACAGGAACAACTTTAAATTTCTTTACCTTACCTTTACTGACTGTGCGAAGAAAGACCACACTGTTCACAAGTAATTATGAAACAAAATATTACACTGCTATTTTGCATTTCAGAAGTCCAAAGTTTGAATCTCGGTCCAGAGACCAGTTATCCTGACTAAAGAATTCTGTGGGGTTATTTGTAGTTCACTCAAACAAATGCTGAAATTGTAGCTTACATGTCACAGGTGTTCCATACCTTTTCTAATTTATCACTCAGAAATGATTTATAACCAAAGCAGCTGAAAAAACACCAGAACAATCATTCAACCAATCAAGAACTGTGAATTGCACCCTCTTTCCACCAGCTGCATGCAGCAGAATGAACTCCATTAACATTTAGTGTCAGGGGTGTCAGGTGGGCATTACTTGTGCAGCAGTAAATGTATTTTGAACAGCCTAAGAGCTTGCTCACATTAGCAACCACAGACCTGATCCCAATCATATTTCCACATGCAATATCCATAATATTCCAAAGAGTCTAAAACGGGAGACGCGAAACAGTTTGAATCTACAGAACAGGGCAAATGCAAAGAACTAATCAACAAGCTCATTTTTTTTTTAATGCTAGTGGGGTTGGACTAAGTCCCTTGTACTGCAGCCACTTCTGGTCTATTGTACCAGCCCCAGATGATAGGTGAGGGTGATTGTGGAGCAATTGGTGGAATGAAGATTGGCAGGGGAAACTGAAGTATTTGGAGAAAACCTGCCCCAGCACCACTTTGTCCACCACAAATCCCACTTGACCAGACCCGGGATTGAACCTGGGCCGCTGCGGTGGGAAGCCAGCGACTAACCGCTTGAGCTATGGCGCGGCCCAACAAGCTCACTTACTGGATGTGCAGAAACACTGGTCAACCAGTTTCATTAAGGTAAGGTAAAGGTAAAATTATAGTTTCACTTAAGCATCATGCCATGAAGATATAAAGGGAAATGGAGGTATGGTGTCATGCACTGTTACCCTTGTCACCAAGACGAAAGTCAAGTGTCACACTCGGGTCATTTCAATATGAGAAAGAAGTGACTCCACCAGTCATAGGATAGGGAAATGGGTGGGCCCAAGGACCATTCTGGACATGGTGGCAAAGCAAGAAACTTCTTCCATGCTGAGAATCAAATCCATTGTCCAACCCACAGACAGTCACTAAATTGAGTTATCCTGGCTCTCAGTGTTTTGCTAAAAATACAAAATCTAGTTTTATTCTTTTTCCATGTTCTTCTATTTCATTGATTTGATATTTTACATTCACCTTCAAATGGTCAACATGTGAAAATATAAATTTATAAGTATTAAGAAATGGTCCAAAAAACAAGATTTCACTCTTCTGTATCATAACTAGTGAACAATAATTGTACCTAATGATAGCACCATCATTTATAACGGCACCTTTAATGAACAAGTCAAGAACACCTGCTCTCATCACAATATTCTTAATAGAACCCCTATCTTATCCATCTCACTTAAATTACATTCAGTTTTAACAGTAAAAAGTCTCAGTCCTCAAAGTTCCACAACAAAGTTTATGCATATTTACAAATGCCTAGAAAATTTGTTCATAATCCATAATAAATTAATCTGTGTCTGGAACTTACCAGGATCTTCAAACACATATGATTAGATGGTGAATACATGAGATCCTCAAACTACTTCTACAGATAAACCTTTGGATATGAAACTGGTATATTATATGCATCAGCAAACCCATACTTTTGAGTTCTTAGTAGCTGTTGTGTGATACTGGAATATATGAATTACAAATTAGAATTATACTCATCAATCTCACCCATTTTCCATTATGTTGTCAAGTTCAATCCCTATACAGATGGAGTATAATACATTGCATCAAGGAAAAACCTTGTGAAGTCTCCGACAATAGAACGGTCGGGAATACTATGTGACATACCATACATAGCAAACTGCAAAAGAAGATAAAGGAAGACAGATTACTATCTATATGAAATTTGGTAATTTGAATACGGTATTTATGAGCACACAGTCTTTTCTTTTTGCCATTTGAAGCTGCTAGAGAACACTAATTTCTGAAAGAAATTAATCTCAAGTCTTTGTCTGTATGGCTTAAGAGTGGCAAAGTATACTCCAACTGGAAGTATGTGTGTTATCTAAATGCATTCTTTGTGGTTCTGAACATAAAATTTTATATTAACAAATATATATTTGTTGTGAAGGGATTTCTGAGCAAGTTCACCATCTACTTGAACTCCTTCTGCCTGTACAAATAAAAGCAACACAAGTTATGACATCCAAACTGTATGTTCCTATACTGCGTTACTGCATCAAGTCCTCATTTATTTTCATTTCTGTTTATCTAGCAATGGTTTATAAAAACAGAAATGAAGGCTACTTTTATGAGAAATAATACAGGAAAAAACAAAAGCCTAAAGTTAATGGTAAAAATGAATGATGAAAACAAAGCGAAAGGCATTAGGGTCTGGGTAGTAAGAAATTTAGTCACACTGACAAGGTAAGCACTCACTTTCCCCTCGATAGGTTTGCTAGGATCCCTCATGATAATTGCTAGTTCCTCTTCCACATCAGAGAGAAAACCGTCTGCTACACCATCTGCAGTATGCATGTATGTGACACACAAATGGAGCCTGTTACAGACAACATGACGCACAGTAACCATAATGATAGGATCAAAACTAATTAATATAAAGACTACGAGGATATTTTATCTGCATCAAATTTTTATGTACCTTTAATTTCATTGTATAAATCAAGTGATTCTGATTTCAGGTAACACATACGAGGGGGGACCCAAAAATAACCGGAAACGACCTGTTG